GGCTTAGAAGAAATAAACAACAACGGGCAAGCGCTTTGTTTTAGTATTTCTTACTTTGCTTTGAAATCATTCTGATTGCCTTGCATTTATATTTTGTATTTGATTTAAAACAATTTTCCATTTTTAATTGGTTTTATTTTGTTTTTTTTTTATTTTATTTTATTTTATTTTATTTTATTTTATTTTATTTTATTTTATTTTATTTTAATTTATTTTATGTTATTTTATTTTATTTTATTTTATTTTATTTTATTTGGTTTTATTTTATTTTATTTGGTTCTACTTTATATAAGTTTTTAATTTATTATTTTATGATATTTTTTTAATACATTTCAAGTTGTTTATTATTTATTTTATTGTTTTATCTTATTTAATTTTTGTATCCTGTTTTATTTCATTTTTTTATACTTTTTTATTTATTTTATTTTACTTCTTTATTTAGTTTTATTTATTTTATTTTATTAAATTTCATTTTATTTATTTCATATATTTTTTTTTTAATTTTCGTCAATTTTAGCTATTTAATTTTTTTTGTTTTGTTTTATTTAATTTTTTCTTAATTTTTTATTTTTATTATTTTTTGTTTTATTTTATTTAATTTTTTCTTAATTTTTTATTTTTATTATTCTTTGTTTTATTTTATTTTATATTATCTTAATTTTTTTTTTATTTTTTTTTATATTATTTTCATTTATTTCTTTTCATTTTATTCAATATTAGCTATTTTATTTTACATTTAATTTATTTTTCTTTTGTTTTATTTAATTTAATTTTTTTTATATTGTTTATTTTTTATTTTTTTTTTTTTATTTTTTTTTATTTTATATTATCTTAATTCTTTAATTTTTATTTTTTTATATTATTTTATTTCATTTTATTTTATTTTCATATTTTTAGTTTTGCTTTATTTAATACATTTTATTTTTATTTTTTATTTTTTTACTTATTTTATTTTGTTTTTTATTTGCTTTATTTTTTTTTTAATGTTACTTAGGTTTAATTTATTTTATTATATTTGATTTTATTTTAATTTTAAACTTAAAGTTTTTCTTTTGATTTTATCTTTTTTTTTATTGGGTTTTATTTTATTTAAATTTTATTTGATTCTATTTTATTTTCATCTTTTATTTTATTCCAACGCAATCGCAATGCCTTCTGACTGACTTGACATTCCAGTTTACTCGTTACTTATAACTCTAGACGTCGCTTGAATAGTTGTTGTCGTTTGAGATTTGCGTTTTGTTGTTTTAAATATGTTTTATTACTGCGAGTATGCAAGAGTCTGTTGAATATTTAAATTCCATTCCTCGTTCGGGATTTGTGTTTCGCCTCATTTGTCTTTGTATTTGTGTTTTACTCTGGATATGCGCGCGTGTAGGTTAAGAGAGGCAGGTAATAAATATTGGCCACAAGCGATCGTGCAAAAAGAAACTGACTCGTTACTATTGTTGTCACAGGGTTGACCGCTTATTTCCACTGTGACTGGCTGCTTGGCAGAGCGAGTGATGATTAAGTGTTTGATTTACATAAATGTTCTTTTGAAAGTATTTTTTTTTTGGTTATTAAAAAGTACAGATTTAAGCCGCTTTTAACGATTCCCAAGAAATCTGGTCAAACCTACGTACGGTTTGTCTTTATGGGCTCAATGAATTAATTTTTCTAATTCGTCAAATATATATTTTTTTGTTCCTATTGAATGAAACCCCCACCTGGTTGTGATTATAAATTATGCTACATTTAGGGCAGGCAGTTACTGCCTTAAATGAACAACATCTAAATGGCTGCGGGCACTGAAGTCTCTTGCCCTAAGCTAGTCCTCAGGCAATGCTTCAAGCTTCCAGGGTGCAATAGTATTTTTCATAAAAAGTAGTAACACAGAAAACTACATAAAATATATTTATATTCATATGTACCGATAACCAGCCGGTAAATACTCGTAAGGCAATAATCTCACATCGTATACCGTCAGAAAATGTCCTTAGCAGCGCGAGAGCAGTAGACAGAACGGCCGAAGATAAACGGCCGCATATATACCGGACCACAAAGGGATTATGGGTGACGAGAAAGATTAAGAGATTACCACAAACGCCATCCGTCTTTGCTAACGAAACAGTACAGAAAGTACAAAAGTCACTTAAAAGATCTGTAAGGAAATTTGAAAAAGTGCAGGGACGAAAGCACGGGGGAGACGTTAAAACACCTACTCTGCATCTGTTCTTTAAATTGGATATTAACGCTCTCTGGAACTTTGCGAAAGGCCTTGACGTGTAAACAACACGACGACTACTTTAGATCACAATGAAACGAGCCTCCTCTGGCACTACAATGGACCAAACCGTCCATATAAAGCGCATCAGCCGACCAGTGTAATCTAAACTAATCTTAGTTCTCTAAATAGATATTAAAAACTTTTTTCCCAAACACCATCTCTCTGCTAAGCGCTAAGAATTCTGCACAAAGATTTTGACACAAAAAGCTGGAAGATCGATCAAGGCGACCAAAGTAATGAAAAGGATGTATGGAACATATTTCAGTTTTCAGTCAGTTTAGGTCAATGTGATACTCAGAGGTGTGCATGGAACGTTTGACGTTAAAATTAATTTTAAAAATTTTTCATTACTGTTTATATTTATAGAATATTTTTACACTTAAAACAAATTTTTTAAAAGTGTTTGAAAAATACTTAAAAAGATATTTTAAGTACTTTCGCAAGTAATTTTCGAGTAGCATCTCCAAAAAATTGTCCTCCCTGTCTTTGATTCGATCATTCAGCAAGTCTCGATTTCCGCAAAAGATCTAAACCAAAATCGTTTTGCTTCCAGAGGTCTAGAGGATAGAAATGATACCTCCTATTTCAGTGTTTAAAAGCAGTTTAAGACCCTTAATGCCACTTAGGACCGAGCGAGGTCATGCTGCAAAATCTCCTTCCGGCCCTTTCTGGCCGTTTTTCATGCAATTCACGGTTCAAATGCATTAATCGCAGTCGATTACGTTTTGCTTTAATGGTTTTGTCTGGTTTCAACAGCATTCCGTAGCATCAAACTATCTGGTTTGGCCGACCCGCTCTAGGCCAAACTCACCACTTTTAAAGTTTCGCCACCACTCTCTAAATGATTTATCGGTCGGCGCAGATTCACCATCAACATCCGCGAACATTCGAAGGGCTTTGCATTGTGACACAAATCCGGACATTTTTTTGTAATTGGCAAAAAACCATGTTGTTGTCTCGAACGGACGTACCCCCGAAATTTCAATTTTAATTATATATTCGGGTTATTGCTGTTGGGCTTTCTTGGATTTTTTTTTTAATTTGCATAAAATGAACGAAATAATTTTCCACCAAAACTATTTTGTGAATGAGACGCATATTTTTTTCATTAAGAAAGCTCGAATTAAAATTTTTAAACGTCACATCGATCAACTTTCTTTACAGTCAACTCACACGAACCACAGATTTATATATATAAATTATTTTAATTTAATTTTATTTTTTAAACGACACCAATAATAGAAATATTTGAATTAAAAATTGATTAAATAAAAATATAAAAATTGATAATATTAAAAATTACTTTGCGGTTCTAAACCCTATTAAAAATACTGAAAACCAATAAATCATAAACTTTTGAACAAAATATCCAATTACAATATAAAATTACAAACACGTAGTTAATGCAAATTTCTAACGAACAAAAAACCAATTTAACTTTTGTACAACGATAAAATCGTTTTGGTATTTTCCCCACAACTAATTAACAAAGTTATGCAAACTATTATTAATTTTTCTCACACGAACCAATTGGTTGGTGGCGAAAATTGCCTGTAAACAGGTACGAAGTTACACCTTGTGTGTACATACATACATATATAAATAAAAATATATGTACGTAAATACATATGTATATAATAAATATCACATGAAAATTCTAGCAAAATATTCACATGACAAATAGAAAAATAAAATAAATAATAATAATTGTTAATATGCAAACGATTGAATTTTCTCATTAGAATGTCAAGCAATTAACGGTATTAACTAGTTATATGCATATACATATACTATACTCTAATAACCAATATGAATAGTTAAATAATGAACAAAAAACAATAAAAATTCAACTAAGAGCGTCGTTGCTTTGCTTGCTTCAATGCTGCTAACTCGCTTTCATTTGCCAACTTAGCTGTCATTTTGACATTTTACATTACACCCAGCCGAGTCAGCTGTCGTATAACCAACAACAGAGTCGCTCATGATCGCTCTCAGCCACTACTAACTACTGTGTGAGCGAGCAGGCATGCATAAATTCTGTTGCGCTGGCTAAGTGAGTGGGGAGAGCGCCAACTAGTAGCTAGTTTTTCTTTTGTTGCGCCAACAACAGTGCATGTAGTTAAATTTTATTGTGATTAATAATTTCAATTTTGTGCATTCAGCTCAATGGAAATGTGACAGCATAGTAATTTAAAGTGAAATTACATTTTTTTTATACAACAACAAAACGTTTTGTGCGATCAACAATGAAAGCAAAAAGGAAAAAAAATGAAGGTGATGAGTAAATGAAGAGTGGCTTGAATGTGAAACCATAGGAATACCAAAAGCACATACAAATACATACATACATACATAAATGTGTTTGCAAATAAAACTTAAAAAAATACGATAAATGTTGGCAAAAGAGCACGAGAGTTGCGGAGAGAGAGAGAGACAGGGAGAGTAACTGCGCTCGCTAAACTACAAAACGCGCTTGAGCTCGCTTGTGTTGGCTTAAAACGTACAACAATACAATGCCAAAGCAACAAATAAAAACTAGTTATTTTTTTTCAAACACAAGCAGATCAATAAATATTTTTTTTATAGTGAATAATACTTTTAATTTTATTTCATAAAAATTTTATTTACATATTTCTTTATATATTTTTTTATTTATTTTTTTTAAATTGTTTTATTAGTTTTATTAATTTTTATTTTTTATAAATGTCTAATTACTTTTTACACCCAACAGCAGCAGAGTACGAATTTTACATATCAGTAAAAAAAAACAAAATAGTGTTTAATTGAAGAAAAAAACGAAAATAGATTAAAAAGAAAGCGAAAATAATGCAAATGCTCAAAGTAAAGAAAACTACTTTTACATGAGAAAAAAAGCAAATAGTTAAAAGGAAAAAAGTAACGCACAAAGTTGCAAAACGCATTTCTTACCACATAAAATTTGCAAAGAAGAAGACATGATATTTAATCTTAGGAAATGATGACGAGTAGTTGAAAAAAGTGAAATTAAAAATTTATAATAAATGCCAGTAACAAAAGCAACAGAAAAGTAAGAAAATAAAAAAAAATAATAAAAAAGTGCGAAAAAATAATAAAATCTCCACCACTCAAAGGAGAGTTGAATAAAAAGTTTTGTGCTGTTTGCGCGTCTGACAATGACAGCCAACAAAATGAGCAGCAGCAGCAGCAGCGATTTGTCTGCTAAAAAGGCGGCAACAACAATGCTACCAACACAGTCAAACGTCACCGACCCTACTGTTGTGAGTGTGTGCAGTAGTGAAGTCGTGAGTAAAGTAGCAACAAAAGCAACATTTCGAATACAAAAGCAAAATCAACAACAACACAAACAATACGAAATGCAGCAGACAACGTCATGCTGTAAGCAGCAGCAGCAGCAGCAGCAACAGCAACAGCCCCGCATACAACTACAACGAAACTTACTCATTGGATTAATTTTAACAGCATTTTGCGCACAGGTGAGTCCCAAGAGAGGCAAGCAAAAGCCAAATTATTATATATTACTTATTTATTTATTTAGGTATGCACAAATAAATTTAATAAGTACAGTGTAGCGCTGATAATTTATGAAAATGGATTTTGAGATATTTTTTTAGAACTATAATATTCTTAAAGCTCGCTTCGATATAACCAAATAAAAATAAAAGCTAATTAATTAGTTAATATTAAAATTTTTTGTTTCATATTTTATCCACAAAATATATAGTAAACTATTGGCAGAGTTACCAGAAACGAAAAAAAACATTCATCAAAATATAAAAAAATTTAAATTTCTTATATCTTAATTTTAATCATTTCGAAAAATTTTAAAAAATGTTTAAAAAATTTTTCAAAAATATTATTTTTAAAACATTTATAATGAACGTTTTAAAAAAAAATTTAAACATTTTTTCGAACTAAAGTTTGCTAAAAATAATTACGCACATCAAGGGGCACACCTACTGTAATGACCTAAAAAAAGGTGACTTGGGAATTTTTATTAAAAAAACTACTCTTTCAATTACTTCAAAATTTTAAGAATATATTTATACATGTTTCAAGAATATACAGTGAATTTTTTGAAGAAAAAAATTAAATATTTTTCAAGTTATAGTCGATCTCCAACGGCGCGAAAAAAAGGTCCTTCACTGCTGCAGTGGTTCTGGCCTTCTCCGTGGTTGAAATAAAAAAAAAATAATTCTCTGTATATATGTATTGTCTCTACAATGACCTACTAAAAAAAATCAAAAACTGACAATATGGCGGCGTTTTAAAAAAAGTCGAATTTTACCTACAATTTTGGTCGTTTTTGGCCTGCCAAAATTCGATTTTTTGATTAGAAAAAGAAAACAATATATAGAACACGTAAAAAAAATCGACAGTGATCGGATCATTTGTTTTTGAGTAATCGCTGCAGCAAATTCGGAAAATGCTGTTTCGAGAAAAATGCGCTTAAAGCTAAAATGATCGTTTTCACTCGTAGCTAATGAGACTCTCTAGCTGCTGAGCGGCTGCTCTTTAAATTGCTATAACTCAAAAACTATTTGAGATATCGATTTGAAATTTTAATATGTTATTTTTAAAGATGGTGATCTACCGAAATATGAATAAAAAGATTGATTTTTTTTTTTAAATCTCACACTAGGTGTGCCCCTTAACACTCATTCAGAGATAAGGAAATTTAAAAAACAAAAAAAAAAAAAGTGATTTGCTTTATTCTTAACCTAAAAAACTTCTCCCACATGACAAACACAACTTTTCCCTTTAAAAAGCCATTAAAGTTGGAATTGGATATTAAAATATATATATAAGTGTGCCTTATAAGGTACTGTTCTTGACTATGTGGTTCATCAGTGTACATAATTATGTATGTATTTAGGTACATATTTCAATTGTTTATTATTTTTGTTGGCTTTAATAATCTTTTACTGTAACTGTGTATACCTAATTAGGTACATAGCTCTGTAAAAAATCTTGCACTTTAGTATATCCAATTAGATACGTGTTAATTCTGTTTCCTTCAAAAATATTTCAACCCTAAAAGTGAATATCGAATTAGATAAAAAATTTTGTGAAATTGCAGCACATTGATGTATCTAATTAGGTACATCTTTCCAATACCACTAGGTACACCAGAGCATCTAATTAGGTACTTATTTCAGTTCTCTTATTATTATTACTTTTTTTTTAAATCTACTGTAAATCTCTATTTCTTATCATCTTATTTACTCAAAATTATTATTATTTTTAATATTTTGAGGGACTACAAAAAATATATATTTTTGTCGTTCTAATTAGCGAGAGGCTACTGTGGAAAATTGAAAATCTCGTTTAGGAATGTTCTGTATGAACGAAACTCTAATGTGTATGTATGTAGTATGTGTTTGTATATATATTGTTTTCAATTAGCTCTTACTGCGTTCATAAGTACGACTACTTTTCGTTGATTTTTTCTAATAAAGTTTAATTTTCATAAGCAAGCAAAGTTCAAAAAAAAAAAAAATAAAAATCATTTCATTGCAGCGCTACAAAAAAAAAAACGAAATTCTACAACAAAAATTCCAAAGTGCGTTTATTTCTTTATTTTTACTGCTATCCGTTTTGCTCACATCTCACGATTTCTTAACCGAAAAATATTTTTTTTTGCTGCATTTAAGCCATTTCAGCGCTTTCAAGGTTTTTCCTCTATTCAAAAGTGCACCTTTTAGATAATTTTTTTTTAATTTGCCACTTTTATATCGCTGTAAAACTCTTTGTCTTTGTTTTTTTTGCCTTTGCAACATTTATATGTACTCTTTTTTGGTACCATTTGGTGGCGCTAATTTGCCACAATTACTAAACTTGCTGCAATTTAAAGCGATTGTCAAAATTGGAGTGGAGGAAAGAAGTAAAATATTTAACTAAAACTAGTTTTCAACTGCAAAAAAAAAAAAAAAAAAACAAATGCACCAGTCGAGTTGAGCCTGGCTAAATAAATGCTTAGGTTTGCAATGCGTAATTGGTACGGCAGTTGAGTAACCGCGGTATGAGTGACGAGCGAAGGTTGTCAGTTATTGCATACCTGTTCGCTGAATAATGTAAATAATTGGCAGTAAATAATGCGTTATCTTCATGTAAGACTGAAATGCTTAAAACTATTTCACATATTTATGAAATCAATTTTAAAAATGTCAATTGTTTTTTTTTTTGTTTTACATATTTCGTTAAATTCTATTTTATTGCATTTTATTTTAGTTTATTTAAAAAATATTTAATTATTTATCAATTTTATTTTATTGTGTTTGATTTTATTTTATATGATTATATATAATTTAATTTATTTGATTAGTTTATTTTATTCAAGTTTTTTTATTTTATTCTTATTTTATCTTAATTTATTTTATTTCATTTTATTTTGTATTATTTGTATGCCCATTTTTTTTTATTTAATCTTTTTGTTTTTTATTTTTTTTTTTATATATAAATTTGCTGTTCTTTTATTTAATTGACTACATTATTTCATTTTTTTTCCTTTTTCAGTATTTTGTTTTATTTGTTTTATTTTACTTTAATCCATTTTATTTTACCTTAGCTCATTGTTTAATTTTATTTATATTATATAATATTTCTATTATACTATATTTTATTTATTTCATTTTATTTAAATTTGTTTATTTTATTTTATGTCAATTTATTCTAGAATTTATTATGTTTTATTTATTCCATAATTTTTTGTTGTTGTTTATTTAATAGTTTTAATTATATTTTTTGTTTCTTTACTTCATTTTGTGTTGTATTATTTGATTTTATATTACCATATTCTTTTTTTATGTTTTATACTATTATTTTTATTTATTTTTTATATTACATTATTATTTTTTATTTTACATTACTAACGGTTACCAAAAGCAAATTATATATATAAACATCATTATATTTAAGTTTCTTCCATTTTATTATACTTCACTATATTAATTAATTGGCGGCCGCGTTTGCCGAGTGGTTAGTATTGCGTACTGCCATCCGGAAGGCTCTGGCTCAAGTCCTGGTGTCTTACTAACATCTGATATGTTATAGAAATATGATTTAAAATAAAAAATTAGGCTAAATTTTCTAATTGCGGTCGCTCCTCGGCAGAAAATGTCAACCCCACCGAGTGTATTTCTGACATGAAATAAAAAGGCTCCTCGTAAAGAGCCATCAACCGTTCGGAGGCGGCTTAGTATAAACTGTAGGTCCTTTATTTGTTGGAAAAAACATGTAGACGCAAAACCACAAATTATAGGAGGGGCTCGGCCGAAAATCACTTCAGCTGCTATAAAATGCCAATTATGAATATAAATATATTAATTATTTTTTTTTTTTGCTTGAATTATTTCGTTTTTTTTTATTTAGTTTTTATTTTTTATTATTATTGTATTTTTGATATTTTTGCGTTTATTTTATTTTTTATATTTTTTATTTTATTTTTTTTTCCTTTTTACATTATTTTCTTGTTTTATTTTTATTTTAATTATATCTTTATTTTATTATCTTTTTATTTAAATTTTATTTAATATTTATTTACTTTTTTTCTCATTGTTTCAATGAATTTCATTTCATTTCATTTTCATTCACTTTACTTTGTACTCTATTGTATACGGTAATTTTTTTAATGGACAATGACACATTTTCACCACTTGCGACAGCTTGGCACCATATCATGTGACCATCAAACGTCACCCACGATCAAATCAATGCGACACATGTGTTGCATTGCGGCCTGGATCGCGTATAAAGTAGCGAGTGAAAACAATATTAAAGTGAAATGTACATGTACACTTACATACATACATATGTACTACAATATTTATATATTTATACATATGTATGTCAGCATACTTACTTAAGTATGTATATTCAACTCAATATAAAAAAACATTTTATGTAGCCTACAAAAGCAACAACTCGTAGGCTTAATGAGTTCCCTGGAAGCGCTCTTCCTTAATTGTTATATATGTACATACATATATATGTAATGTCAGTTGTAGAACTAGTTTTTATTTCAAAAATTAATCATAAAAAATACTAAAATTGGTATACATACTTAGTAAATTATTAAAAAAAAAAACTAAATATTTTTTTAAAAATATTCTCATCTGCTTGGTTAGTTTACAAAATAGCAATGGGAAAATGGAAAATGATATCTGCAATTTGTATTTCTTTTGCCAACAAAGTGACGAACTTTGGCATCATAACACCATTCTCACATCAAGTACATACATGTATGTATATATTATATATTTATATGCGTGCATGCATATACATATGTACATAGGTACACATTTTGGTCACAAAAAATAAAATAAACAAAAAATATTTAATGGCATGAAATTATGTTAGCAATGAATTCCATAATTGTGCCAACACGCATATAAAAAATATACCAACAAACATACATACATACATACGTAGATATGCATGAATGTGCAGAAATTTAAATTTACAACCAGTTTTTGGG